CAGTAGAAGATTTAAATCAATTCTGAGGATATTTATGCCATAATTTTCTGAACAGAGTAGATGGAATTGAAATATTTGATGTCAGATATTGGGTTTTCTGCAATACTAAAGTACTAATACACTGTATTATACATTGCTGAGTAGCTGATAACACTTACTATTATGATTTGCCTGATTTTTTACAATTCCTTTCACAAGAATTGAAAACAAGCAACAGTTGTCAAAAAATGCTATTTCATACAGAATGTGAGCAGTAAGACATTCAGAAAAAAAATGACATGGTGTATTCTAAAAAGCACAACTAAATGTGTGTATTTTTCCTTTATTCCTTTGTATTGCAATATCTTCATATAGTTATTACAAACTTGAATAATCATGTTACTATCATTACAAAAGGAACTATTTCTATAATCAATGAGAAGCAAGTCAACATTAAAAAACAATTAAGTTATTTTTAATAGAAAAAAGCACAGGAAGTTTCCATTTAAATGCAAATTAAAGGAAAAAAGGTTCTCAGTTTTGGGGAATCTTTTGTCTCTCAAAGAAAATGATACTAAAACTATGTTAAAATTACTATGTAAATTCTCACAAATTTGAGAACAAACGACTGCAGAGACAGTCTGCTTTTATCTCATTAAAGCAGATTGATACAAAGATTTTAAAAAACCAAATCAATTCACACAAATGTGTAAAATGGAATTTTATTTGTGCACATAACATAAAGGTTATGAGAATTAAGTGATTTGGTCACATATCGAATGCACTGCTCCTCAGGGATAAAATTCTTTAGATAGTTCATTTATGACTCACACCAGCAAATGTCACAAAATAATTCTGCTACTAGCCATTTTTGTTTGGACAATTGTAGTAATCAGGATATATGTATTTTTAGCATATCCATATGGATTACAGACATTCCTTTATGGTTAGGTATGGTTTTGTCATTCATTTCCAGTTCAAAATGCAGTAATGATAATGGATCACACTACCACCAAAAGGAACGGTACAGTGCCTGATTTGACCCGCAAGGAGAAAAGAAGGGGGACAACCCTTTCCGGGGTATTGCTGTGCACATGATGAGCTTAGTTAGTCATTTGGGGACACTGTCTTTCTTAACTCAATTGGATTTTTCCATTTGTTTGCATGAGCAGCAAATGAGCTCCACAAAGAAAAGTGATGAAAAGCCAACCTCCAGGAAACAACAGGTTTAGCTGAGATAAAACACAGTTTTGCTTTTTGCAGTACAATCAGTACAGCAAGCCTGAATGGCTTATGTGATCTGTTGAAATGTGGGATGTTTAGTATGGGGGGATCTGTCACAATACCAGCTGCTTTCAAAATAGTCAGCTGACCAAAGGCTAAAGTGCACAACTCTGGCAAATGAGTTAGTAAAGCTTAGGTTAGAAGGGATAGAGACCTTGAATATTCACTGACAAGTGTCTCTTGGCTTCACTCAGAAAAGCATCTCTGACTAATAACTGTAGCGAGTGCATTTAAATGCTATTTCAAGGTTTGCTGAAGTTTTATATGAGCTTCCAGAAGCCTGAGAACTCTGGAAGATGCCTTTGAACAGAGGTCTTGCTGAATTTCAGCTATGAAGCACATAGCACACTGTCACATAGGTGACAGTGAAATATTAAAAGGTCAAATTACTTCCTTCACATCTTAGATAGCCAGATTTGCAAGATCTTATTGGTGACAACGAAAAATTATTTTTATAGTATTAGGTTCTTTATTTAATATTCCAGAGAAAATAGAACTACGATAGCAGCATATAAGCCAAACTGTTTCCAATATACTCCTATATAACCTTAAAAACTTGACTTTTTAATTGAAGTATGAAAATGAGGTAACCACAGAGCATTGTCTATCTTTCATTTACTGCATAAAAATAAACATTACCCATACTGTTTTTTTCCTTCAATTTGAGGTTTCCTTTAATCAAAGGCAAAGGATTGCCCATGTAAGACTTCATTAATTTTAGACATGAGTATGTGAGATATGCAACAGTAAAAAGATTGGAAACAATATGCTTATTACTTAAAAGCTTCCTATTTGTTTCTACCTCTAATAGGCCTATGTATAAGTGACTCCTCAAAAAGCTAAAGAACCTAAAATAGAAGAACGGGAAGCTAAAGATTACTCAAGTTATCTAGTCTACTGCGAAGATATGGAGAGAAATATATTTCTTATCTTGGGCATTTTAGTATAAGGTAGCATTATTATCCATTTCCCCTATTAAAAATTAATCTTCTCAACCTTTTGCACATGAAAAAATATGCAAAGACTTTGCATTTCTCTGTTACTGAATGCAACTTATTTATGTATAAAAAAGTCAAAGATGTATCATGTGAAAAGTTTCTCAGTTTAATTTCAAATTATTTCACTGGGAAAAGCTCTAAAATAAGATCTTTAAAGATTCACTTTCAGTATGGATGAATGTTATGCATGTGTCCTTAAATTATTTACTAAAGAATCTGATCAAAGGCAGAACACTTAGTTCTCTCAGCTCTAAAGAATTCACAGTAAAACAGTAAAGAACAGTGAAGAAAAGAGTTGAAAGATATGAGTGAGGACAAAGGATCCTTAACTTTTATCTCTTTGCTGGCAAACAAATGAAGTATGACTAACTGCCAATTTTGGACATAAGTATTCTAAAGCACACTACTTGCACTGTCCACGCCCTAGCAGGATAGACTCTAACTCAAGAAAGAAGTAGCAGTATAAGGGATCTTGCTATAAATTGAAACTCATTTTGAAGTTCAAGAAGGAAAAGAAGATTCAATTCTAAAAGTCACCGTAGGTCTTCAAAGACATACTTACTGGCTTGTGACAGGTATGGAACAGTTTAAGAGCTAAGCATAGGACATGAAGTATAGTTAATGTTATAAGGAGGGTTACAGGATATAGAGAAAATTTTCATGAGATATAGAATTAACTTACACAAATGCTACACTCCTGGAAAAACTGTGTCTTGAAATATAAGCATAAACTAGATTACTGCCTACAAAAAAAAATCCTGCCCTAAAAGAAAGTAAATATAACAAAACAATGCCATAAGTTCACAAGAAGGATGGACTGATCAAAGACAGATCTTGTTCAAGCCCATTCCAAACAACTCTGACAAACAGAAACACATAAAAGAGACTTCAGAATACTTATTCCAATGAGGAAAGAAACCCCACAAATATAATGCTTAATAAGTATCTCAGATAAAGAAAGAGCAGCCATATGCCTGCATATTCATCAAAAGCCCTGGTGGTTGCAAAAAATACAGTAAGTTAAAGAGAGGAGGAAGAACTTTATATATTTGAATGGATTAAAATGAAAATGTTCTACAGAAAGCTGTCTTAAAAGAGCTTCTCCGTTCTAAAGCAAATTTTCTTGGACCATCATTGAAAAGCTTCTACATCTACACTGTGGCCTGTTGATATGCATGCTGGATCAAGCACTCTAACAATACCGGACTTCGAATCTGCTGAAGAGTATTCAGAAGGTTTAGGAATGGTTCTGGACTGATGGATGAACTGACACGGCTGGCCCCCCAGTTCTGGGTAGGTTGAAAAACTTCATTCTAGTTCAAGGCCATCAGACATTACAAACCACAACAGTTTCCTCCAATGGGAACATGTCAAGGGATGTGATGTTTCCTGTCTCCTCTTTGGAAAAACCACAAAATTGATTAAATTTACTATTAACTTCAATACAGGTGGTATTACATTGGCTAGCGTGCACTGAGAGTAAGCTACTTTCTTAGTTTTGCATCTTCTTAAAGCTAGGAGTATTTTATTATACAGAGCCTTTTACTTTTTAGGAAAAGCTTGAGAAATAGGTTTACTACTGGATTGTACAGAAGAAAGTAATTGAAAAGACTCGACAGCATCTCAGAAACATTGTTTTCCTTTGATTGGAGAGGATGAAAAGTCAGATTATTCAGAACATAGGACGAAAACCCAGTATTCAATACCCCAAATAAGATTTTTTAGTAACAACAACAAAATATTACTTTTTTTCAGGTTTCCCTTAATAATAATAATTATTAATTATTATTAATTATTAATTATTAATAGTAATGAAATAATAATAGTAATTAATAACAATTACTAATTATAATCACTAAAATCTAAATTATTTTTAAAAATAAAATTTAATTAATTAAATTAATAATTGATAATTAATGCAAATAAATATTTAACAATATTTAAATAATTTAAATGTGTGTTAAATATAACACATATAACGTAGCACCTGGAGTGTTTTGTCCAGTTCGGGATTCCCCAGTAAAAGAGGGACATGAACAATTTGGTGTAGAGGAACAAAAAATGATTAAGGGACTGGAGCATCTGTTCAGTGAAGAAAGGCTGAGAGAGCTGGGCCTATTAAGCCTGTGGAGGGGGAGACTGGATTTTATCAGTGTATACACTGATAAAGTGTATACAAATACCTTATGAAAGAGGTGTCAAGAGAATGGGGCCAGACTGTTTTCAGTGGTTGGTAGTGCTGCAACAGAAGGCAATGGCCACAAAGTGAAATGCAGGAAGTTCCACCTGATTTTGACATAACACTGAAATTAACCTATATATATAACACAGGTTGAGAGGAGCGCTATTGTGTACATGCAGACTGCACAACAAAGATCATTTGTGAACATAAAGTAGCAACTACTATTGATACCGAAATGGCTTCAGTAAACTCAGATCAAGTGACTTTGATGGAGAGCATGTATTCTCTTTAAATTACTGGAATAATACTATGGATTTAAAACAATGCATTCATTTCTATTCCTGATTTTAGGGTTGTGATAAACCCACAGTTGTGTAAATTTGCATGAATAAACCTAGTAACAGAAATCATTTGGAAAAAATGAGTGACAAATCTGAAGAAATAACTCCTGATGCTGTTTTCTGTGCATTTTGATTGTCTTAAAATTTAAGGATTAAATAAACTTCATAAGTTTCTCCCTAAACAGAACTGAAACCCATTAAAGACTGGAAACTCACCCTTTTCTGTTCATTAATATATTCCATCAATTCCTCTCTTGTCCTTTTCACAGCTTCTTCGACTGCCTTTTGATTTCGTTTTTGTTCCTCCATTAATGCTTCCTTAACAATTTCCTACGTAAAAGGAAAACATGTAAGTCTAGATATTAAAGTATTTTATAAACACTGTGCAAGTCAATGCTTTTTCTAAAATTGTATCTTGGCCACATTCTTTGCAATAACAGATTTCCTAAAAGCGTCTTCACGCAAACCTTATAAATTCAGTATTACAGTCACTAAGGTGCTTAAAAGGAGAGGAAAAAAACAGTTCAAAACTGTATTAATAGATGCATGATGTTCACTGAGAGCAGAAGAAAGGATGCTAGAAACACACAACAGCACAGAAAGCTGTGAATGATTCCTTAAAACACCACTGCCAGCTCAAACACAACTTATTTACATAAGTTACCAGCCTGAGAAACATATTCTCGGCCCCAACTCACTTCTCATGGCCCAGTCTCCCGAAGTCACTCAAATAAGGAAAAACATTTAGCTAAAAGTTTGTTTTTCAGAATTCAGAAACATTGAGGTGACATATATAAAAGTTTCCTGAAAAAGAAACATACAAAAGTATGTTTCAGGAAACATACATTCCTGAAAAGAAACATACAACATAATATTAGTCAGAAAATCATATTGAATTCAATAAAAATAATAACACAGTATGCATAATTTAAACCAAAAAGAAAAAGATGATTTTTTTTAAATGAACCATTCAGAAAAACTCATGTGTTATATTTGCAAATGTGGATAAAAACAAGCTATATGAAATAGTAGTGGACTTCCACTGCAATCTCATGCCTACCTCAGATGAGCACACAAAATAAGTACTGTATCTGTTGTCCAACACATTTGGAGCGATATAACTTAGGAAAGCCACTGACACAAATCTTTCTACCACAGTCCTTATCGTGGTAGGATTATGAACCAATATGAAAGATTTTTAAATTCTGACTCCACTGACTCTACTTGGTACTTACACATATCTGGTCAGTGTATGTGCTGACTTTTCCACTCATCTTCATCTTTGCTCTTTCCATGATTAAATCTGTCCTAATTTTGTTGTTGTTGTTGCAAAGATAAAAAAGGGCCCTAATCTCATCTCTGGCTAAAAGGGAATGACACTATTAAATACCATAAGTGACAGTTTAAGTGTCTTTTTAACTCATTCAAGAAACTGGGAAAGTCTATTTTTCACAAAACCACTGAGAAAGAACATTCTATTCTACCTATCAAAAAGATGGTAGGTTTTCCTGTTTTTCCTTCCTTTTTTTTCCCCTCCTCTCTCTCACATAGAGGGCCATTAGAGTCAAAATAAGCCTTTTTGTGGATGCATGCTTGACAACAGTTGACAACCAGAATGGTTAACATTATTTAAGTACTTAATTGAGAAATCATATTCAAACATAAATTAGCAATCAAAATGTAAAAATATTTATATACACAGGAAGCCAGAAAGAAAAAATAGTGTGCTGTGCATACCAGGTCACTCCACTCAGTATTCTAAAAACAATAAGCTATACGACGCTTTGCAATTTTCCAGTAAAATTCTTTTCTTTCCACAGAAATATCAGGTGGCAGTACTGAATTTTATCTAGGAAATGCAACCACAGACAGCAATGTGAACGGTTATTCAGAAAATAGTAACCCTCAAATTATAGTGTCTGCGGTTATAAACTATTGCAAAGCACTACTGAATTCAGACACGTTTAAAGTCTGCATGCAATGGACTACTCATTTTCCAGACTTTGTAAGTATATTAAAAATAAACTGATCTAATGACAGAGATCTCACTCACTACTATTAAGATGTGTGCTTCCTTATGCACTGTTCAGAGAACATTTAATTAAATGAAAAATGCTTTTCCATATCCTTCTGAAATCACTGTAAGTACTGGACATATTGCTTCTGTGAGAAGGTAGAAAAACAGAAAGAAAGTAAAACTGAAAATTACTTCTAAAATATTTGTCATTTCAGGTTTTCATTACAAAATTTTTCTAACTTATTAGTAACTTAAATTGAGATGCTACATGTCATAAAAAACAAAACAATGTTTTTAGTGTAGGCAGAAATAGTACTCAAAGTGGGGAAGAAGGAAAAAAGTGAGTTAGGCTTCCAAATTCCATGGTAGTTAAGAGGTAATCTTGCACTGGCAGCATAAAGCAGCTACCTAATCACACACAGGCAACAGTTCCTGTTCCTGCTAAAAGACTGTAACACCAGAAACCACCAAAACCACCAAAAACTACTGTCAAGCAGGTACGCAATGGTATCTTGACTCTGCAAAAACATAGCGGTTCCCGAACTACCCCATCTGCAGCCTTGCCAAAATTACTGGATCAGCTGTCACTTGTTCCTCTGTGAAGCAAGTTCTGTGATCTGTTCCAGGCAGAAATAATTGGAATATAGTTCATAAAAAAAATAGAATATGTGTAGAATATCATTATATCACATAGCCCATCACTCAGCAGAAGAAGCAGATGTTTTGCACCATCATCATGGGAATATCAGTTGAATCCATCTTCACAGGTAAACTGTTAAGGAGATGAAATAGATGATCAGACAGGGCAGGAAGAGTTTACAGAAGAATAGATGAGAAAACACTTCTCCCAAGGACAACACTGAAAACAACTGTGCAAAACTGAATAGGTGAAACAGAGTGAAATGTATTCAAATTTCAAAATCAGGAAGTAGGCATGCCTTCCCTTGCAACATTTTCTATTTTTAAGAGAAATATGGAGATTGTGCTGCCAGTCCCTCTCAAAGTTTTGACACCTAAAGAAGGGAAATTGTTTGCTAAAACCAATAAAACGTTTTTAATCCAATAAAATGGACAACAAAATGGTAAGATGAATGTATAGTCCCAAGTATTTCAGAGCAACAAAGATGACGAAGGGACTGGAGCATCTATCGTATGAGGAAAGACTAAGCGAGCTGGCCCTGTTTAGCCTAGAGAAGAGAAAATTAAGGGGAGATCTAATCAATATGTATAGGTACCTGAGGTGAGAATGTAGGAAGGATGGGGTCAAACTCTTCTCGGTGGTGACCAGTGATAGGACAAGGGGTAATGGGTGCACATTGAAAGACAAGAACTCCCACCTCCATTGAGGAAGAACTTCTTTACTCAGAGGGTGACAGAGCCCTGGAACAGGCTGCCCGAAGAGGTTGTGGAGTCTCCTTCTCTGGAGATCTTCCAAACTCGCCTGGTTGCAACCCTGTGCCCCATGCTCTAGGTGCATCTATGTACATTAGACTAGATGAACTCTAGGGGTCCCTTCCAACCTTAACCATTCTGTAATTCTTTGATTTTATGCTCTCCTCATTATCATCTACCAAAACACATTAATTTGAATTACCATCAAAAATAGATGATTGAGAGATTTTTCTAGCTTACAGGACTATACAATTAACAAATCTGACCAGGCATCAGAGTGCAAAATCACTTTTTAGACATTTTTTTTATTTATTAGTTTTTTAAACTTCTCATATACCAGGTTTCAAGAAAAAAAAATACATGCAAAGTCATTCTCAGCAAATATGTTACGGTTAAGTTAAGCAATAAGCGGAAACAAAAGTCATCCCTTAAGTATATAGCCAACAACTTCATATATTCAGTTACATATCTTTTCTTCACTTATACACTACTGGGTGTAGAAATACTTAAGACATTCAATGCAAAATTAATTAATGCTTGCCAAAGCTGTCTGAAGAAGCACTCCCTCAAGCATAGAGCCTGAATACCAGAAAGGTTTTACTAATGTAGCAGGAAAGTAACCTTCCATTTCTCAAGATTAAACACTGTATGTTCTAGGCTTTTTACTTTTATCTTTTCAGCAATGATATTACACTGGCATCCGTAAACCGATAGAAAAATATTAAATATATTTTAAAGTACATACAGTACCAACAGAAGAATTAATCAAGATCCTTTCAACCATTTAGATGTTTGTCATTAAAAATTATATTAGACATTCTAAACTAATAAATTATAAATCACAGTTCTTCAAAGAACACAAGAACTCTCAGGAGTGTGAACAAATTCAATTGTTTTGAATGCTTAGACACTTACTGGGCAAAGAATCCATGGAAGTTCACATTTTTTCCATAAGTTTTTTACTTAATCTTTTCTTCCAAAAACACTTTTTCTTTGTATATCTCAATATATCTCCATTGTGGCTTGGCTGAATGAAATACTGTAGCCTCAGTTTTCCTGAAATACTTTCCCATTGGTAAGATCATTTTGCCTCAAAGCTTTTCCTAATGTCCAAGAAGCAGCAGATTTTATGTTAACTCTTTTAATAATTTAAAGTTTTTTTCCCCCCCTTTCTAATTATTTGCAGTCTTCGGAACAATTATAGCTTTTAATGTATCTGCTATGTGGATTATGGCAATGATGTATTCAAGCTCTCTCGCTTGAGAGCCAGAATAAAACACACAATATTTTAAATTTAACTTTAAGCCTTCAGGAAATGACGAAGGTGATTCTTTGCTTTAAGTGCTTTAGGAGGCTTACTGTCAAGCTGTGACATGGACCCAAATTTCAAGGGCTTATCCCTCAACTGCCAGATTTCATTCTGCTTTTTATTAAATTTTCTTTCAAACCAAAATTGTTGCAAATAAATTATCTCTTACTTCATCATCTACTTCTCTAAGTTTTCACCTTGTTTACGTACTTAAGAATAGCTTTGTAAAATACTAGCTCCCATGCTCACATTATAGTTATTCTGCTTTTCTCACTAATTAGAAATGGATTACAACATCCTTTCTATTTTATCTAAACATTAATGGCCTTCCTTATCCTACAGCCTCAAAATATTTTTTAGGCGCTCAAGAGTAAAAATAAGAGGAAAAGACGACAAGCCTTTGAAACCATGGAGTGTACTGCCTATTCTCTTTTGGATTAAGGCCTTAGTTTTCACCCTAGGAGCTTCACTCTAAATTTTTGGGGAAAAGTTTCAGCTTCGGTCAAATCACCTATTACAGTTTCTCTCTAGTTAGAGGGCAACCACTAATTTATTTGAAAGAAAATGTTCTAGAAAAATAGTCCCGTGGGAGTTTTTTCTATTCCAACAGGTACTCCCCTCAACATTGAAAACTGCTACCTACTACACTCTGCTTAACAAAAATAGAACAACGGTAACAAAAAACTAGACCTGTTAGCATAAATTTAGTCTGCTGAGCATACCAGTTCCTCATCTATAACAACTTTTCAACATGCAGAAAGATCATGAGGCTACTGTGCAAAGTCACAAAATGTTCAAAGATTTCTTTTCAAAGAGAGATTATTCTCCCCAATTCATAGGACAACACCAATCTCCCCAAAATAAACAATCCTTTTTTGAATAAAATAAATCTCTTTTATAAAAGCACCAAGCACATGGATCACACATGTATAGAAGCTGGAGATGTTACCACACTATACTAAAAGGAAAAGAAAACAGTCTCTTCGACTAATACCTTATGCTGTCTTGAGAGAGCACTCAAGGAATTTGCTTTTGCCTTGGTCATGTAATTTATCTCATTTACCCCAATCGAACTGTCAGGCTTCAAAGAATAAAATCTTCACTTTAGCTGGAAACCTGTGATTTTTAATTAAAGACCCCAAACCATTGGATCATTCAAGGATTTCATGAAAATTAACATAATGTTACTCTAATCTTTTAATTCCTTTAAAAAAAGGGGAAGGGGAGCATAAAAGGGTTGCTCCATCAAGTTGAAATGCAGACTCGTAACATCTTAGTTTTTATGAAGTTACTTGAATTATAAGCTTTTCTTTACTTTGCTCTTCCATAACTAAATGCTTTTCATGACCAAATAATTCATGCTGATCATGAACTGTTTATCAAACTGTTCCCAAATGCCCCCCACTTTTTTTTTTCTCCAGCTAAATTAAAGATTAAATTAATAACATAAACCTTACAACGAAATAGCACCTCCTTATCTGCACACTCGCCACCTTACTGAGGACAAACATTTTTTTTATGGTAAAGGTCTGTCAATAATGCAGTAAAGTGAAAGCAATCTGCATCAAGTTTCCATTGTGGCTCTTCTGCCCAGGCATTTTTCAATGACAAACAATAGAAAAACCACACACCAAAATCAAACTCCTCCTCTGCCAACTCCACAAATACAAGGTTCCATCTCATCTGCACATGGCAGATGTTAACCTTTTCTTCTTTCAAATAATTTTTTAGAACATGAAATGAAATCATACCACTTCATTCAGCAAAAGCTAAGATCTTCAAAGCTTTATTGCTTCTATACCAAAAACGAATGGCTGAAGAAATTAATTGGCATATGTTAAGATTCTTCCTATAATTTTCTCCAATTCAACAAACTTCTATGAAGTTCCACTTAATATGCTTAAAGAATAATGAAATAACTAATACCTTTTATTTCCTAAGTAAAAGGAAATAATAAATTCCTGCTTTTAAACAAACAAAAGGATAATAAAATTAAACCTATTTTCTGATATAGAAGGCTTATTTTCACTCATTTTCACTGCTTAAACATTTTACAGATAAACAATTTCCTCAATTCCTACAATTTCAGGATACTGTATCTTTCACATCTGACTTATCAACTTTTGGCCACTGAAGAAGTCAATGTTCTTTTTGCTATAAACAATCTTTCATATTTTCATATTTTCTTCAATATTTAACATTCATATACATATACATATTCATATACATATAAAGAAAGTTGACAGTAATATTTTTTTTGGTCTAGGGTTAGGATTAGGGTTAAGGTTAGGGTTAAGGGTTAGGTTTAAGGGTTGGGTTAGGGTCAGGGTCAGGTTAGGGTTAGGGCTAGGGCAGAGTTAGGGCAGGGTTAGGTTTAGGGTTAGGGCTAGGGGCAGCATTAGGGGCGGGGCTAGGGTTAGGGTTAGTGTCAGGATCAGGATAGGGCTAGGGGCAGGGGCAGGACAGGGTAAGGGCTAGGGTTAGGCCTAGGGCTAGGGGCAGGGTAGGGTTAGGGTTAGAGTAGGCTTAGGGTCAGGGTTAGGGGTAGGGGTAGGGTCAGGGTCAGGATCAAGGTCAGGACAGGGCTTGGTTTAGGGCTAGGGTTACAATAAGGGGTAGGGCGTAGGGCTAGGGTGTAGGGCGGGGTCTGGACTAGGACAGGGTGGCGTTAGGATCAGCATCAGGGCCAGGGTTAGGGTTAGGGCCAGGGTTAGGGTTAGGGTTATGGCCAGGGCCAGGGCAGGGTCAAGGTCAGGGGCAGGGTGAGGGCGAGGGTCAGGGCGAGGGGTCAGGGTTAGGGCGAGGGTCAGGGTTTAGGTTATGCTTAGGGTCAGTGTCATGGCCAGGGCTCAGGGTTAGGTTTGGGTTAGGACCAGGTCCAGGGCCTAGGGTTAGAGTGAGGGTTAGGGCCTAGGGTTAGGGCCAGGCCTAGGGCTAGGGTCAGCATCAGGGTCTGAGCCAAGGTTAGGGTTAGGGCTAGGGCCAGGGCTACGGTTACGGTTAGGGCCAGGGCTTAGGGTCAGGGCCAGGGTTAGGGTCAGGGCCTAGGGTTAGGGCTAGGGTTAGGATTAGGGCCAGGGCCAGGGGTAGGGTTAGGGCTAGGGCCAGGGCCAGGGCTACGGTTAGGGTTAGGGCCAGGGCTTAGGGTCAGGGCCTAGGGTTAGGACCAGGGCTTAGGGCTAGGGTTAGGATTAGGGCCAGGGCCAGGGGTAGGGTTAGGGCTAGGGCCAGGGCCAGGGCTACGGTTAGGGTTAGGGCCAGGGCTTAGGGTCAGGGCCTAGGGTTAGGACCAGGGCTTAGGGCTAGGGTTAGGATTAGGGCCAGGGCCAGGGGTAGGGTTAGGGCTAGGGCCAGGGCCAGGGCTACGGTTAGGGTTAGGGCCAGGGCTTAGGGTCAGGGCCTAGGGTTAGGACCAGGGTTTAGGGCTAGGGTTAGGATTAGGGTCAGGGCCAGGGTTAGGGCTAGGCAGGGCCAGGCCTTAGGGCCAGGGCCGGGGTTAGGGTCAGGATTAGTGCCATGGCCAGGGGTAGGGTTAGGGCTACGGCCAGGGCCAGGGTTAAGGTTAGGTCTAGAGCCAGGGCCAAGGTTAAGGTTAGGTCTAGAGCTGGGGTTTAGGGGCCAGGGTTTAGGGGCCAGGGATAGGGTGGGGAGACAAATTAAAACAAGATCTCAAGTCTTGGTTATGATTTTTAGTGTCCACTACACTAAATCCTAGTTTCTACCAAATTCACAATTTTCTTGAGCTCCTGTTTAGCTGTGATATTTGAGGCCAACTCAGACCTAGACCAAAACAAATTTCAGCTGCATAGGTAATAAAATGCATTTTCATCTTTAAACAGACAATGAAAATAAGAATGTCCCCAGAGTTAACTTCTCTGGACCATAACCAGAAGCCATTTTGCCTCACCTACTTGCAGAAGCCTACAGTGACCTTTTCCTGATTTTTCTCATTTCTCTTTTCTGATTTTTTTTCTTAAAATAACTGGCAGAGGGAAGTTCTACCTCTTTAATATTATGATTATTTTCTGGTTTTTTTTAGTCATAATCTGTAAATCTCCTCAAATTAATTTACAGCACTATAAAAATTCATTTTTGTTTACATTTTTATGACAATCACTAGTGTAATATGAGCCTTAGTTACAGAATCATGGGTTAGTCAGAAAGTACTCTCTCCTGAATTTAACAATATTGCTCTCAAGGACATTTTTATACAGCTGATAACAAAGGAGACTACTTATTCACTACTGCATATTCACTTACATCTACAGTCAGTAGCATCATTAACAGGTACTAAGCATAATAGTTCTATAAGTTGATGATTCTGAAACAGGACAATCTAACGGTAAAGAAGTGATATTATACAATGCAACATAAAAAAAAAAATGAGAACAAGAGTTATTACATATGTTGCCGCAATTTCACATTTCATTGTCTAAAATGCCAGACTATATTTTACTGTTGGCCCTTACAAACTTGAAAGATTAAATCATGTAAACATAATTGCAAGAAGGTCGATATTTCAACTACACTTCTCGAAGGAAAAACCTTAAAGAAAAAATGCAAATGAGAATCATGTCTGAGTGGAAGATTATACACAAAAAATCAATGTCAGCAAATTGCCTACCTGCAGTTCCAAGTGTTTTTCATCACTAAACCTGAGTAACATCTGACATGTAAGCGGTCATTTGTAATTCCTATTATCTAGTAAAATCTGATGCTGTGGATTTCCCTCTCAATTTAAGTAACATAAAACTATCCTTAGAGGAGGACATTTCCAGCTTATTACTGTTACAGATTACCAATACTAATAATCCTTTTTCTATTTATGTTGTATCTGTTCTAGTTTTTGTCTTTAAAAAATCTTTTTACTAAGATAGGGAGTGTAATTTCAGCACTATAAGGATCTCATCTGCTCTGTATTTATTAAAAAGAAAATCATTCAACCTTTCTACAATACAAATACCTGTATCTGAGCTGTATCTTGGCTTACTTTTGAACCCAACTCTAGGGGTACAGGGAGTTACAGGGCATAATTAATCTCACTTCAGTATGCATGCCTGAAAAAGTCACATGAATTGTATTTTAAATGTACCAAATTGTCTCCATACACAAAATACAGATGAAAATAATGAGATTTTTGTGCATTTCAAATATCAGGTAGGTGCCGTAATAAATTATATTTTAAAAGAGAAATTACCACAGCATTGCAAAGATATTCAAAAGAGAAAATGAAACATACAAAGCAGGTCCACAAAAGGGTAAAACATGCTAACCTGATTATGTTTTCTTTGCTCTTGCATGGCTTCCAAAACAGCCTGGGCAATCTTCTCTTTGTGTGTGTCACGTTCTGCTTCCCACATTTTTCTTTCTTCTGCATGAATCTTCTCCATATTTCTTCTTTCCTCCTCTACTGCTTTCAGAATAGCCTCCTGCACTGCTACTTTTTCAGCCTTTGAAACATATCAAGTACAAATAAATGAACAAAATAACAAACGTGGGTGCGTAATGCATAAGTATTACTTCTTTTAATGACACATGTGACCTGACAGGATACAAGAAATATTTTTACTTCTAAACTAAGAGCTAAAATTTTTCTTAAGGTGTTACTAATCAACCGGACATTGATTTTTACAGGTACAATAGACTTGGACCTGTCCACAAGTCTGAAGCTGGAGCAACAAAGACAATACATAGCTTTATATATGCTGAGCTACACAACTATCAGTAAGAAAATCTGGCATTGTGTATGTCCCAATAGATAATAGCATGCTGAAGTTCAAGACAGGCAAGCATTGCCTGGCAAAAAAGGGATTTTAATGAGGTTAGCAATGTCCTTTAGTGTCAATTATGGAACTGCTCAAGTAAGATTGAAATAAATGGAAATAAATGCTATTTTTCTCAAATACCTGCAATTAGAAGAAAAGCTTTTTACTGCAATTCCTTGAATTCTATCTTTTAAATTTTAGACATCTGTGAAACATAATAAATACTTGACACCATAAAATGGTATCATTAACATTTGCTGTTATTTTTTTATGAAGTTTTCTTGTGGGTTTTTATAAAATAATATATTAGAAAATTAACTATTTAATTCTATCCTCTAACACAAAAGATCCTGACTTCTTGGTATAAATTCAGAGCTTATCTTAAAGAGAAGTAAGCAAGCTACATCTCCTGAATGGTTAGGGTATCTTTATGAAGGCCTAAGCTACTGTAGATCTATTTATAATTTACAGATTATATATGAATGAGAACATAATTTTGACACATCTAGTAAAGAAATAAGAATCAACTGCTGAATTTGGCATTCCTAATGACACAGAGAATCTACCCGGTAAAGGCAGAATTTACAAGAAATACCTTTGCCACAGCTGCCAGAGCCTCCTTACTTCTTTTCCTTTCTTCATCCAAACATTTGTCAAGTATTTCCTGCAAATGTTATGAAAAATTAAATTGCATTACACAATAGATAAATAGCTAAAAATAATTTCAAACACTCAAAGTTTTTGCCAAGACTTCATTTCTTCCCTCCAATGACTAAGACAGGATTATTCCTTATGAACTCTATGCTACAGTTCAGACTTCTCTCTTTTTTTTTTTTTTTGTAAATACAAACATTACCTTATGTTTTTGTGATTGTTGCAGCAAAGCTTGTTCTGTCTTTTCTGATAACACTTCCTTCTCTGCTTCCAAAATGTCAAGAAGTCTCTGATGCTACTGGAAGAAAAAATCTATATTGTAACTACATTCTGCTAGTAGAACAGTCAAAAACAACTCACGCAACATAGTTAGGTTTGTCCTTTGCTTATTAGATGAGTTAGAATCTAGATTTGATTAAACATAAGCACTGCTCCTTTAACTGCTTTGATGTTAAGAGAAACTCATGTGAAACATTTAGCATTCATCACACTCTCTCATGTTCTCTAGATCTGAAGAGAATAACAGAGATATGTGGAAAAAATACTATATAGAGCAACACTCTTTACAAAATTTATGTAGATGGTCAAAGCAACATCATACTTCAAAGAATTAAACAGCTGTGTAAGTTAAAATATGTCTATACTACCTTTCATTTCATAACTTTAAAATAGAAAGTATAATATCAATACACTATAATATTCCAGAAGATTGCCAAAAAGTATTGCACTGTGGCTTTAAGAATAAAAGTATATGTACAACGAACATAAAACTTTGACGTAAAATCTTAATCAGGCAAATACACTTTTAACCAGCGTTTCTAAGAAACTGCCATTTCTGTTTCATGAATTTTATTATGTTTTAATTATTAGTGTCTTTAACATCAGCAAGAAACATATTACCAAACTGCAATACTATGTTCTGAAAAACATTTTTATATTTGAAGAACAGAATAGTAAGCTTTTAGACTGCTTTATAAAATAAAACACCTATCTGTCTTTCCAGGATAAACATGCAAAGAGGTATTTCCTCGTGAATTTACTTAAAATAGGTCTGAATGGAGCAGACAAATTCTAATGGAAAACACTTGTGCAAGGAGTGGTTATGCTTAATGATGTATTACTAAGTTTTTTTGTGGACTCGGTATCTTCAATCATTAGCTTTAACTATCAGTGCAGCTACATATTTCCCCCTCGTACCTCCACTAACTCAAACAAAAGTAAAACAATAAACGGATGTTTATTGCTTATATAATCCTTCACTTAACTGACTGTGGAAAAGCTGCAAACTGGCATCTGTTAATCCATGTTCGTTTGAAATACTGATTAATGCAATAACAGGCAAATATACTTAAACACTGAATCAGATACATTCCACAAATCAAAGTTGAATAATGTCAATTGGCTTTAGATAATAACTGCAGAGGGATTTTCTAAGGTATGATTATCAGAAAATCAGAAGTATGAAAATCAGATCTTTATAATATCTATATAATATCCTCAGCTTTATAATATCTATAATATAATCCTGCAGAACAATTTGATTGCCATTCTATTTTTTAGAAGAACAGTTACAGGCAATTATCTGCAGTTTGATGCCAACCACCGGCTTTCTAGGTTGGATAAGAAAACCGTGTGTGTGCGTTTAAAGTTGTCATGTTGGATCAGTTATTATATGTATTTTACAATATTCTCTGTGGGATCACTAATTTCAGTCTTTAATTTTCACAACAGGTTTAGAAACTTAACTTACGGGTATAAGAAAACAGATAAGTCCATCCTGAAAATTCTAAATTAGATTTTAAAATTCTAATTTACATTAATTCAACAAAGAACATGTCTACATAGACCATTGAAACAATCAATGTCCATTTTACCTGAAGCTGAAATACACATCTTCGTGACTACAGCCTTCCATGTGAACCTAACCTCACTACACAGCAGGTTTTATTTATTTAATTTTCAAAAAAACATATAGACCTGCAATCCTGGAAGAAAAAGTTAAAAAAAAAAAAAAAGAAAAGAAAAAAAAAAAGGGGTACCAAAATATTTTGAGCTTAAGGAAGAATGCAGCGTTCTGATTTTGAACATATCTCAAGTAAAAATGTACATCCTTCCCTGCCAAGAAGAGAGTATAACTAGGTCCAGAAAATAAGTATTTTGTAGAATACAAAACAATTTTATGCCCCCTTAGTGTTACTGTGAGGAAGTACATATTTGCTGAATTCAAATAACTCGATTGAGATACATTGTGATAATCTGAAAGTCTTTTTGCTTCTTCTGAAAGCAAAAAAGGAAGCTTTAAAATACAGTATACTACTTTTGACTACAAAATAATTGTCTAATGAGTAAACAGCTATGATAAATGTGAAGGTTTCTCTAAGTGCAGTTTACAGTATGATCACTTTAATCTAACTCAGGATCTCTTATTTCCTTGGCTGATTAGAAAAAAATATGTGCTATTATATTTTGAACTGTATGGAATTCAAAAGAACTTATATTAAACACATTATTTCTTTGTATAACTATATAGCAGTTTTTATTTTTAGAGATACTGTAAGCAAACACTAGCCACAAAGATATTTACAGTGTTTCCAAAATATAAGCTAATCACTCCTGGAACACTTCAAAGCAGTATCTATTACATTATGTACCTTTGCATGAGAAATAAGGATGCTAAAATTCCTAATTTCATCCAGACTGTAAGCTTCTTGTGACTATCTTGACATGCCCTTTCCTATTATAATCTAAATGTTTATTCATGTCAAATAATGGTTTAGCTTCATATCCAAACTTCCAGAACTTCATATATGATCACAAATGTTGCAACAGCTGTCCATACAACTGAGTAGAGCATATTCTCTTGTATTATAGCTAAAGAAATACCTTGAAGAATTGTTCATTTGGCTTCAGAATTTATATCCGTCCAACTAGATTTCTTTTTCAGAGAAAAATGCACTTTCAGCTATTACATCACATAGATTATTTAAAAAGAAATAAGTAACTGGAAACAGACAAAGCAGAATCAAACAGTGTGAGTCACTTCTCCCCAGAACAAGTCACGGGAAGCCTGTACTTCATTGTCGGCACAGATGTAATATGAAAAGATGTAAACTGGTACTTTGAATTTAATTAACATGGTTACTCATTAAGAACTAATGTTTTTCCACAGCAGTGTGCTTCATTAGTCCTTATATGGTACAATGGAATCTCCTTGAAAACTGTGCTTACTAAAATGAGCTAAAGTGAGCTCAGTGATACCAATGATCCATTCCATCTCCCTCCACCTTTTCCACCAAAGCACAGATCTTTCAAAAGGCATACTATGCTAAGGGTTTTTGGAAGATGTGAACAAGTCCTCATATTACGCATAAACCTTGAGCATTAAAGGCCACATATGCTGAGATGGGTCTATAGGTCAGCAAGTTTCCCTCAATATCGCTTATTTTCCTCATTAGAAAGAAAAAATACAAATAGGGTCTGAACTGAATGAATCTCATGCAACGTTTCCTTTTTCCCATGGATAGTCATGAACATGTTCCTCTTTGATAGACACAGTTAAAAGAGCAAATGAAGAGCCTCAAGACTGCTCTGAGCTATCTGTATGTGGAGTTTTAACTTTCCGGGCACTGTAGATGCTGCTTTATATAAAGTTTGTTTACATGCCAAAGCTAGGGTTCTGAGGGCAACTTTATTTGCCAAAAAGACATTCCCAGTTCCTTAACAAACAAACCTAATATGAGCTTTCAAGAAAGAATGGCTGGTCTCCTATAAGCAGTATAATGAATTCAGACTTAGCAGTCCTATTCAGAAAACTACAGAGACTACGCCAGTGCTCTGAAATTTATGATGGAGAACTACAACGGAATCTTAAATTGGGAAAAAAAACAAAGTATCCAATCTGTGTAGACTGCAAGAGATGAAGTTTATTTTGGAAGCTGAAGTGAGATTTTTTTCCTTAACTGATCAACAATTCAAAGATCAGAAAAAAACCCAGAACATTATAAAAATGTTGAGGCTTTGTATGTAGTTATCCAGCTACTGATAAAGAAACATATCTAACAGGATTTCAAGACTAAAGGGTAAAATGAGTGCAAATTTATGACTAAGTTAATTTGGAAATTAAATAAATAAAGGCATGAACTCATAGTATGATGCATAAATTAGCATGAAGCCAAAAGAAATAGCACTTTAGTGGAACAAGAAAATTTTCAGCCAGCATAAGTTTGCTGCAAATTAACACAGCACATGTAAACTGCAAGGCACAGTAAGAAAACTATGCAGAGATATTAAGTCAGTTCTGAATATCTTAAACTTAGGTGCCACAAGTAATATGTACATAAATTTTCATACAGTCTAGAGAAGTTTATGCATTACTTTGTCTGAACTATTTTATTGAGCCTAACTACTCCCTCTCCAACTAAACCATCATTTGTTCCCTTTAATTCCTTTGTCAGGGAGTATAGAGGATAGAGTAAAACAAATCTTGAATGCAAAAATACCGAAAAGCAGCGGTTTGAAAGTGTTCTGCCATCAAAAAAAAAAAGTATATACACAGATATTCTAAAAAAAAAAAAAAAAAAAAAAAAAGTGTATTTCAAATTTGGGAGTAATAGTAGCATTTCCAAACTCTTTTATGGAAAGCAGTAAGAGACAGGGTCAAGAAGAGTCAAAAAAAATCAACTTAAAACAAAAGGCATTCAAAATAGGTTATGTTTTTCTCCCTGAAAGAAGTTCTTTAGACAACAGTTCCAACTGAAAAATGTTTGATGTAGATTCAAATATAAATACAGAGGTCCTGTGGTTTTCCTTGATTCCTGTAAAAAATAAATCAAAAATCTTTTTTTTTTTCCAGGAATGTGAGTCAGAGAAGATATTGTAAACACATTTAATCACAATAGCAATTTGTCTCTTTTTTTCTTTTTTTTTGGTTATTTTTATAGATTAAATTTATTTCTGAAAAATCTTGACAGTTTTACTTCAGGTATGCATCTTTTGAAGGACTACATTGTATATATTCTAAATAACCTGTAGAGTGAATTAAGTGGCTGAAGATTCTTTTGAGTTATTTGGCAGTTAATATGCTATATTAAAGCTATCAATAAACTATCTCTAATTTAAGACAGTTATAGTCCTTGCATATTCCTATTAGTCCTAAAATTAAAATTTAAAGAAAAACAGAAAATAGGATGTCCAAAACAAACTGAAAGTAATTTTTAAAATATGGATTGTTTCTCATTGGGCTCTGTACAGTTTCATCTGAAAGGGAATAGATACAGAAATTCTAAGGTACAATTC